ATACACAGGGATTATAGCACTTTATAATGATATCTTGTATACACAGGGATTATAGCACTTTATAAGGATAACTTGTATACACAAGGATTATAGCACTTTATAAGGATAACTTGTATACACAAGGATTATAGCACTTTATATGGATAACTTGTATACACAGGGATTATAGCACTTTATAAGAATAACTTGTATACACAAGGATTATAGCACTTTATAAGAATAACTTGTATACACAGGGATTATAACACTTTATAAGGATATCTTGTATACACAAGGATTATAGCACTTTATAAGAATAACTTGTATACACAGGGATTATAACACTTTATAAGGATATCTTGTATACACAGGGATTATAGCACTTTATAAGAATAACTTGTATACACAGGGATTATAACACTATAAGGATATCTTGTATACACGGGGATTATAGCACTTTATAAGAATAACTTGTATGCACAAGGATTATAGCACTTTATAAGAATATCTTATAAAGTGCTATAATCCCATTTGACCACAATTGTGTATCTGTGGCAGTCAGAGTGAGCACAATAGTTGATGGAGGAAATCATTGAAAGTTCTGGCACTTGGATTTATTGACCCCTGACAAGGCCTGTTTGTTGATATAGTTTGTCATCATCACGACATGTCTCAACATCACCATTGCCTTCACTTCTGCTATCTTCATGCCTTTTTTTTTAATTCTCTAAGAGCCCTATACTTTCAATCAGTCTATAAAAGCCTAATCCTCATGCTAATTTCAAAATTCATCAGCCTCGGTCTTCGAGCACCCCCTGGTGATGAATTATTTCTCTAGAAGTAATTAATTTGCATCACATAAATGCCAGATAGTTTAGTTTAATTCAAAGGGTAGCATGGGACATTGAAAATTATTTTTATAAAGTGTATTTAATCCTCGGTATATGTAAACAGGAATAGATGTTTTACAGTTGTATTCTTTATACTTTTTTTTCTCTTCAAAAAAGTTTTAATATGATGTGAACAGAAATAAAGATACCCTCTAACTCATAAAATTACAGTTTTCTTTCAACTTTTTTTGGGAAACTGTGTAAGAGAAATTTGTAAGTTCACCCGAGCACAATGTAGTGATCCATGTCCATTTCTGTATCTGTTCTTTGTACAGAGTACTTGTATTTATAATGATGATTGTCTTGGTCTGTTGTGACAAAGTGAGACGAACATTTCCAGTAAACCTCATCTGTCTGATGGTGTTTGTAAGTATACAAGAGTTTCCATGTTGTGTTTCAGACGGGTTCTGCTGTTGGTGTGTTATTTTAAGTGAGTTTTTATTAGTGGTATTAGAAATTTGTGGCCACATCAAAAATATCTTTCTGGTATTACTGCGAATAACTTCAAAATAGAAATACTTTGTTTATTGCAAGATAGTGTTGTATCATGCTAAAAAAATATATTGTTTTTGTTTCATTATTGCAATACTTCAGTTTGACTGTAAGAGAGATGGAAAAAAGTTTTAACTTAGTATGACAAGTATAACATAAGTTTTATAGTGTTTGGACTTAACTTTTTGTGGTTTAAGTAAAAATATGTGTGCTAATGAATTACAGCACGACTGTAAACTATTTATTTCTATATACATGTAATGAGTCTCTCTGTGTGTGTGTCTACAGGTAGTGTATACTGAACCATCTAGTAAAGATCTTAAAGACACTAATACCATTGTATTTCGTGCACTTTTTTAAGGTCCTTTATTACATTGATAATTTTCGTGAACACATTTAATATGAGAGTGATTTAGTAATCATATAAGTACAGCATAATCCTGAGGAAGTTTGTTGTGTTACTTCAAATTTTTTTGTCTTTTATTTGAGGGGGGGGGGTGTTGCTATGGTTACATGTATTTGGTCATGTGTTTAACTTGAAAGTCTAAGATCCATTGTTTGATTGACAGAAGTGTGACACAATTTAATGAACGCACATTTTTTCAGACTCTCTTGGAATCCTTTCTTCTTGGTACTACAGCTAGGTGAGTGTTTTAAAAATTGACAGTTGAATATTTCAGGATGTTATACTAAATACCTTTTATCAACTGTAGTTCTGGTAAATAAAGTTGTTACTTTTGAATACAGTTTATATTAGATTACAAGAAACATAACTGGTATTGAAAAGATGTCCAAAACTAGGTGAATAAATGCTGTTATGTGCTCACACTGGTTAGTTGCTTGTAGAGATTATTTATATTAGATTACAAGAAACATAACTGGTATTGAAAAGATGTCCAAAACTAGGTGAATAAATGCTGTTACGTGCTCACACTGGTTAGTTGCTTGTAGAGATTTTTTATATTAGATTACAAGAAAAATAACTGGTATTGAAAAGATGTCCAAAACTAGGTGAGTAAATGCTGTTATGTGCTCACACTGGTTAGTTGCTTGTAGAGATTTTCTCTTAGTTTCTGATACTTTTACTTTGTTTATGTGGGTTATTGTATGCTGTTGTTATAGCAACATGTTCTGATAACATGTACATACAACAAAAATAATTGAAGACAAGAAAAAGGCCTTTTTTTTAGTATTAATATCTTTCAATTTTCTGAAAATGTCATCACAAGGAAGAACAATGATAGTTTTTGTGAAACTAAGTATGATTGTTGTAACAAAAAGTAAGTTTTATGATTGTTTTTGCATGGTGTTGGGTTTAGAATTGGGTAGATAGAGGGGTTTGTTAATCAGTTGTTGGGGCTCATTAATTCATTTTCCTCGCATGACACTTGATAGTGAGAATAATTAAAAATATTAGTAATCAGGAATACTAATTGATTAATCTACAAACTCAAATTGATTGAAAATGAGGTTAAATCACGATGGTAATATTTCGAATATTTGGATAGTTCGAATAATCAGAACCACAAATTGTTGATTAGTTGATTATTTTTGTGATGTTAATTGATTTAATTGTATTTGTGGTTATACTTTTATGGGATATCGATTGATGCTTATTGGTAATCGAGTTAATTGGCCAGATCTAGTTGTGTTGAGCTCGTGTAAAAAAATTGATAATAATAATAAAGAACTTTTAAGTCAATACAAATCCCAAATTCAGTTGGAATAAGCAAACATAATCAGTAAACTCGTTATCTTTTAAAGATAACATGTAATTTTATATGTTGGTAGCATTTATGACTTTTCTATTTCGTTAGTCTATAATTTGTTGAACAGATATATATGAATAATAATTTTAATATTTTTCCTAGTTACTATGGCCATGATGAAGTGATGATTGCAGCTGGAATATGTACCGTAAGTTTTTTACAAACACGAGAAATTTTATTAACTTGTATCACTTACTTCAAATCTCCAGTTCTTTTTTTTATACTTTTCACTAATTGGCCACTTTTGAGTATTGTTGTTTATTATAAGAGTTAGATAGCCCTCGAGTTGGCAGTGAACAGTGTTAACTAGGGACAGTTAGCACAAATAGACCTTGAGTAACTTTGCACAAATTTCAATAAACAACAGCAACAACATGCTCTGCTGGTCATAATGTTTTTTTAATTTTATTTTTTACATAAGTTTACTGAAGTAATTTCGGGCAGCTTGCAAGTAAAGGAAGATTTCAACTATTTAGAAGTAGGAAAAAGTTAAAATGTGTTATGTTGTGAAGTTTTGTAGCAATATTTCTTAAATAATGCCTCACTAACTTATTTATAATAAGCAATTCCTCACACCAGAAACTATTTATTACTGTTAGGTGTTTCGTCCAATTGTTTTTAATGACTCACAGTACTGTTATGTTAAACTTATATTAAAGTTTTTCTTCATTACTCATTCAAGCCGCCTCCAGCCATTATTAGACTCACAGTATAATTCCTTAAGATTTACTTTGTACCTCAATTATAAATTATTTTCAATTAGCCTCTTTTTTTTGGGGGGGGGGGGCTTGTTCTTAGAAGGCTTGCTTACAGTGAGATCAGAAAATATGTTCACAGTTTAGAATTAACTGTTAGAAAAATCAGAAAAAGCTCCTTCTTGGTAAATATAGAGGAATTTTAGTTATCTTCAGTTTGTCAAAGATCTGTTTTAACATAAAATGGATAAAATATTCTTTTAAAGAAACTAAGACATCAATTTGGAACAGTTTTATTATTTTTATTTTAAATTTTTTATGAGTTTTGTAAATACTTTCCAGATCATTTAAAAAAAACAACTAACTACTCTTTGAGCAACACTATGTGTTGTTTTGAAATAATCAGTTTAACTTTTATTTAAATGTACCAAACACTCCCTCTACCTTTCATGAATATCCTTTAAAATATAACGTTTTTTGTAAATAGTAAATATGTTCGAAACATAGCGTGAATGGTTGTCCTGATCCAGAAGATTAGACACTGTTATTCATCCAAGTGAATTCTTTAACTGGTTTAACTTTTTTTAATAATGGTAAATACTTATCTAACAAAACTTGAAATCTGTTTTAGAACCAATGTCTGAATTCAAGAGTTACATCCATTGCCATCATAAGCCTTTAGTGTTTTTATGGGCAGACATATCAAAATGTGGGCAGAAAATGTTCTGTTTGTTTGTAATATATTTATATTTTTAATTTCTAATTACATGGTACTCACAACGTGATAAGATAAAACTTTGGACTATATATATATATATATATCTGTGATTTACCCATATGTTGTATGGCTTCATACAAGGGTTTTTTTTGGTGTTTTTTTATGACCAATGTTGAGACATTTGCATATTATCATCACTTATATTGATTCAGAGGATTACAGTTAGTATCTTTGTATGTTACAAGAAAGTATTGTTATTTATCTGTAATTATACATAAAATTGGACTTTTAGTTGAAATGTGAAATTTCTTCTAATGTTTGGGAATAAAATTTATAACATACGATGTTGGCTCATGCAGTTCATAAATAAGACAACTTTTCACTGTACACTATTAGAATTTCATCTTGATAGTTGTGTAACTTGTAAATACTGTTTTCTCCACAGTTTGTATGTTTAGGCCTGACCATCTTTGCTTTCCAGACAAAGGTAAGTTAGTTTGTATTGTTATTAAACTCTTAATTTGGTTTGATCATATTTCTTAAATTGTAATACACATTATTTGTTTTTATCCTGGTTTCTCCATATATATTGCATGAATATGTAATATATATAATTACCAAATGTCGAGATACCTTTCACTAGAGACAATAGGGCAAGTTAACAGTTTTTTTACACAATTTTAATAGTAACACACTGCTTGATACTATTTCTTGATACTTTCTAAAGTGATTCTGATGGAATTAATAGTTTTATTTTCTTCATTTCGTGCTACTCTCTCTAAGTCAGCTGTTAACTTGCCCTATTGTCACTAGTGAAAGGTATCTCGACATTTGGTAATTATATATATTACATATTCATGCAATATATATGGAGAAACCAGGATAAACAATCGTTCAGAAAGTAGCACCATTATTTTCTGTTGTTAGTAACCAAAAAAGTGTAAGGTTTATATACATCTTTATCAGATCACTTTCAATATCTGTCGTGTAAAAAAAGAGCACAAGGGATTGTGACAATTTTTGCCAAATTCTCTTCACTATTAAATATTTTAATACAAATATCGGTACTAGAAATAGCGTCAGACTGGCAATTACTTTGTTAGAATGAATTGGTTCTTTTTAAGTAACAACTAAATAATTATACACAAATGATATGCATGAAATTGGCATTTCTATATTTATCTACTGAATAATTATAATTTTCTGAATCTCATTATAGAAATGTAGTTGGTAGAGAAAATATATTTATTGGCTAAAATATTTTTGGCAATACACTAGCAAGATATCATGAAATCAAATATGTTGATCACCAGACTTATAGTTTTGAATAATTTATGGTCATTTCTTCATTTTTTTTTGTACATTGTTATAACTGACGAAGTTCACAATGATGTAGTTAAACTGTCTATATTTAATACAACTTGAAAAGTAGATTATCAAATGAAAGTTTTTAAGTTTGTTAGACTTGTACTTTAATTATTGTTCACCAGGGTAATCAGACTTGTTTCTTTGTTAACCTACCTAAACCAATAGAAAATGACAGTTAATCATTATTTTCGAAACCTCCAGTGCTCAGAAAATTTGGGAGATAAGACATTATATTAGTTATTACTATATCCTTTGTCATCCCAGCGATTACTGTATCCTTCGTCAACCCAGTGATTACTGTATCCTTCGTCATCCCAGTGATTACTGTATCCTTCTTCATCCCAGTGATTACTGTATCCTTCGTCATCCCAATGATTACTGTTGTTTTCACTGACCTTTATATAATATTTACAGATAGTTAAGTGAAAAAAATTAAATTTCAATATGAAAATTAACTATATTAACATGAGTTTATTCTTTAGAGCACAGTATGTGAAAGCTAGTGATTAATCTTGAGGTGAATGTTTTTTTTAGTGGGACTTCACAATGTTTGGGGGCATGTTGTTTGTGGCTCTACTGGTTTTGGTGTGTTTTGGCTTCATTTGCATATTCATTCCAGGAAGGGTAAGATGCTTAACTTCATCTAATATTATTTGTATAATTAGTATATTTAATGAAAATAAGAGTGTATAGTAACTGTAGTTGTGTTTCTTTCAGCTAATCCAAAAATATGACAGAAAACGAGTCAACTATGTATGTTTTAGTAGAAGATTACTTAATATTTTAAAAAATTAATGGCAGTCTATATATATATATATATAAATGTTGATAATGTGGTAGAATCACAAGTTTAGAATATTTCACCAAAACAAACAATCTAACTCGAACTGTACTAGAAAGTGTGACGAACTTTACTTGCTCACACTGGTAGTTAACAATGGTGTATAATATTGGTATTGACAGGTTTAAATATTGTTGTAACAACTTACTGTTCTTTTCCGTAAACAGTGTAGCTGAATCTGATAAATTTTCAAACAGTGGAAAATGAAAAACAATCCTTTAAATAGTACACCCATTTATGGATTTATATATTTCTCACGACTGGTAGCTTGTTTCAGCCAGATACGTTATCAGATATAACTCAAATTTGTTCGTTATGTTGGGATCAGTAAACTTAGCCCATCATTACCTTTTCAAAACTCTTATCTACACATCAGTTATACATCTTGTTAGTTTAAGCTATCTGTTCAGTTAATTACAAGGTAATACAACGAGTTCATAGGGTTTTAATTTATTTAATACTTCTGGCTCCCTACCGTATACGTTGATCAGATGTATAAGGGACAATTAAAGTTGTGTTAGACCCAGCTTATAGTGTGTTTAATAAATATTTTTCTTCTGGCTACATTTAATTTGGTTATCTTAATTAAAATACTCGTATATTTATTATATTATACAGTTGCGTTATTCATTTAATTAATTAATTATTATTTTTCTTCATAAACATTTTTGCTATACTACCCGTACTGTCCGGCTACTTTACTCTATAGTCGTGATATGGTAATTGATATTGAATCTTAAGCTACTCTAAAGTTACACCGTCGGAGCTGATATGTTGGTGTTACACTTTTCAAGGGACGACGAATCGTTGATAGTGCATGAATCAAACTATTTTCATATGTTTCATAAGTTCTATTTTATTCTTTCTTTACTTGTACTTTCATTAAAAATGTTGCATGAACATATAAGTATTTATTTTTAATATGAGGATTATTTTGTGTTGTTTGCTAGGACTAATCTAAATATCCTAAGCTAGCTAAACCTTACGAGATATTACTGGGATTATGGCAGACAACGTCTCTGAGAATATCCAACTTATGAGTCAATGAATTCAAATCGTTATAAATAAAAATGGTTTATTAAGTTAACCATATTAATTACTGGGTTGATTTTTAAAAAGTTCTGACGTTTGTAGGTAATAAACTTTGATTAGAAATTAATAATAATCAATGTATACAAAACCTGTTTTTATTAAAGATCTGTTATGTTCTCTTTCTTTTTGATACTGTATATATATATATATATATATAATAAATAATAGTAAGTCTGAACTCACCAATAAGAACACCAGAAGTTTGTAGTTTGAGGGTTAAAAAACTGAACTCACCAATGAAAACACCATGGCTCCCAAAGAGGCATACACAACATTGACTACCTGAAAAAACAAGTAAATCATTAAAACTACAGGAAATGTTAGTTTTTTTTATCCCTCAAACTACAAACATCTGGTGTTCTCATTGGTGAATTCTGCTTTTTATCCCTCAAACTACAAACATCTGGTGTTTTCATTGGTG